GGTGCAAAGAGGTATTTATCAAGTGTGAGTGGTATTTCTGTAATTTCCACCAGTCACGCTCCGTGAGAAGGCAGAGCAGGAGTCACTTCTGTCTGCAGAGGTAGATTACACACCAAAAGCAGGGACTAAGGAGCTCTCCCTCTTGTAATAATCCAATTAGACATTGATCAGTCCTGGGTTTTGCTCTGCAGGTCTCTTTTCAGCCTGAATTCCCCTTGTTATGCTCCCTTGCTGAAAGGCAACTCCCTGCTTGCCACACAGCTGCCACTTCCATCAGCTTCCCCAGCAGCTCCAACAAATGACACCAGGGCTGAATGGCACAGGGGAGAAACAGACTGGGCTGGGTCCCCTCATTCCCAAGGCTGCAGCAGTGAGGATGCAGCAGCACAGCTCAGGGACCACACAGATACTCTGGGGAAGAGGGGAGGGAGAGAGGAGGGGAGGAATTAGCTCCACTCTGTGTCCAAGACAGCAGCACAGCTACTTCCTGCCTGGAGCCCTGGTGCAGAATTGCTAATGACCACACTGCCTGCTCCCACAGCTCTTTCTAATTATCTGTATTGAGAATTCAGAGATTAGGCATGCCCTGGAATTCCTGGGTGGAGGGGCAGGCTGCAGACTGCAGCAGGCTCAGGGTGGAGGATGGAAACAAGGTGGGCAGAGGTCCCACCAGCAAAGGTCACTGGTGGACCAGCAGCAGGGCCCAGCTCCCTCCCAGTTCAATTCCCAGTTTGGAGCTGTTCCAGCTGGTGACCAATCAATTCAGTGTTTTCACTGATTGTCAGTGCATCCAGGCAACACAAGGGAAGTGTCTTGGACTTTGGGATGGACAGAATGTAAATGCTATTTTTAAAATGACCCAGCAGGATAGAAAGCTACGCTTGAGAGAGCTGCATTTATTTTATCCCTCCAATCAAGAGACTTGTGTTTGTTTAAAGCATAAAGCCCTCTGTGTGAAAAAAGGTAGAGCTTGGCTCAAGTTATTTGGTTCCACTGGGGAAGCACATTTGTGCACTGGCATTTTTGAGAAGGGGTGATTACATTTGTAATCAACCTGGTTATTCCTCACATGCCATGATTTGGCTACTGCATTTTAATTCCAGACACCAATCCTGAGTGCGCATCTGGTGATTAAGAAACCACTGGGTCCTCTCCTGTATTTCCTCAGGACAAGGCACAGCTGTGCTGGGATTCTCAAGACTTTAAAACTAAGCTCCATCATATATGTGTCAAAGGAAGTGTTTGAACAAGCCAAGTCCCAGATATTACATTCTGACCAGGTTCAGAGGGTCATCCTGGGTTTTGTCCCATTTAGCTCTAATTCTGGTGAAGAATCAACTCTGCTGGAACTGCCAGCCTGAGTACCAACCCTGAGGACTGTGGTAATATTTATATTTTATATATTTTTTTAAATTTTTTTTTACATTATTTACACAGCTCTGCAGTCCCAGATGATGCCAGTGAGGTAAAGTGCTCAGCTGACAATTAGAAAAGATTAATGCTTCAGTAGACAGAAAATGCCAACTACTCACACTAATGACATACAAAGAAGTAACAGACTTCCTGTTTCTAAAAATAGCCCTTATTTTCCAGAATAAAGAAGAAGAAACTTTCAAACACGGATGTGTTAAAAGTACAACTGGCCATGAAGGAGCTTTGGGATGTCCTATAAAACAGATCCTCACAAAGTGCAGCCCCAGGAATGCACCTGGTTGATGCATCAGCAGTCCAAAAATGCCATCCCGGCACTGTGTCCCAGCAGAGTCCCTCTCCCAAAGGAGAATGATCCCATGACTATCTCACCAAAGGGAATATGTCATGTCCATCTTTGTGCATCTTTGGGTCACACTTAATCCATGCTGGATCTCATCCAGTCAGCAAAACAGGCAAAAAAAGCATCAGAAAGAGCAGGGACTAACAGCATGGCATAGGGCTTGAGAACAAGGAGGATTTGGAGGAAATACTGCCTAGCATGACGAGAAAAGAAATGCAAATTCCTGTGAGAAAAAGAAAGCCACAAATTCGTAAACAAAAAGCTGGTATTAGTCTGAGTTTAAATTGAACACAAAGGATAAAGAGCTTTATATTACATCCAATGCCAAACCACCAGCAGAGCAGTCTCTTGCTATGATTACTTGACAAACAGCAAATACTGCAACAGCTTTATTTTTCTCCCTAAGCTTTTGTATCTCTGCTCCATGAAGAGCTGCCTTGATCCACAGCTGATGCACTGACACTGCCATAGGGAGGTGATTCCATTGAAAACACAGACCAAGAATACATGAAATACAAACATTTCCAGAGGTACAGCTGCCATTTCCCTTTATCACTTCTAGGACATTCCCTGTCTGCTCCTATTTAGCATTTTTCTGTTTAAAACAACCATAGAGCTTTACTGTAGGAGATGGTGGATCTTCAACAAGTGGTGGGTGTAAAATAGGTCCTGTTAAACCCAACATCACTTGGAACAAAGAATAACCATGAAAATGTATTGGAGGAAAGAGCCACTCTCAGATCCTCTTTTCCTCTGGGCCACAGGAAGGGTGTGTAGTGGTTGAAAAGAGCATGAAAATAGTTCCATATTCATTAACATGGTGGCAGTTCCTTCTCCTCTCTGGAGAGAGCATGTGTGGCAGAAACAATAATCCTCAATTCTAATGATCATGGGTTAAGTGCCTCTTAAAGTTCTGTGTTTTCACAATACATCTGTGAATAGCAAGAGAGTTTAATCTAGAGAGGTTTGGCCCCTTGACAAATGGTCTCCACAGAGAGCAAAGAGAATCAGGGCACTTAAATGACACCACAGTCACTAATGACATGATTATGGGAGGTGATAATGCAACAAGAATGACTCTCAGCAGCTTCCAGGAGTTCCAGCTCACAGGAACCCAGCCTGTTAGAAAAGAGGCACCCAGTTCCTGCTTCACAATGCTGCTAGGATGTATCATTTTTTAAATAGATGGAAAAAAGCCACAAGACAACAGAGAAAAAGCTATTTTAACACAAATAGCTTACTCTCAGCAGGCTTTGTGGTTTAAAGTATTTGTGGTAAATGAGTTTCAGAGCCACAAAAGCATTTCTCAAGCCTGGTCACCTCATGGCCCTACATTACACACCATGATGTCAACGAAACTTGGAGAGGCAGAAGGAACACAGAATTGTATATCTGGCAGCACAGAGCCTGTGCCACTGCACAGTTCCTATAGGGAACCATACACTAGATTTGGTTTTCAAGGTGGAGATTTTCCACCAGAGTTTTGCACAAAGACAGAGAATCCAAAGCCTGATTTCACCACAATTCTTGCTCCTACTGAGATTTGTTGCACCTCCCCTGCATAGTTATTCAGAATCAATGGCCAAAATGCCACATAGCATTCATCTGGACACTAAAACATGACAATTGAAATAACATGATCTATCGTGTTACAGTTTATGCAATCCCATTTTCATATGCTTTCCTCCTAGTCCTTAAACTGAACTCCCACTTTATTTTCACTCCAGCGATTCTGTTTTCATGTTCTCAATATTTTTTCTCAGTATGCATATCTTTCTGATATCAAATCACTGTTTAAATAAGGATCTTAGAATTGACATAGCCAATTACAGAAACATAGATGCTTTCATGCTTCCCTTCAGTTACTGTAAACTCATGCAATTTCTTTTTTTAAAAAGCAAACAAAACCCTCCAGGCCACTGCTAATTTGTGTTGCACTTCCCCCAACTCCCCTTGGTGTCCCTGGTTTATTTTATGAGATTGCCTCCTGGGGAACATGCTGAAGTTCAAGGCCAGGGAATGTTCCCACTGTAGTCCATGCAAGGAGAGTTTGTGGCTGGACTTGATCTTAAACTAAATTAAACTAAGTGAGTCTATATTTGCCAGGAGCAGGATGAAAATTTCTATCTGTAGTATAAGTTTTGTATGAATTAAAGCATTTAAAAAGTAGAATCCTGTGTGCTGGTCCCTAGGTCTCATCCCCAGATACCTTTCTAGGTCACTCATCCAGCTTTCCTCAGGGATTCTGGGACATGGGGAGTAGCTGCTACTGAGAATATCAAATATTCTAATCCATTTTGCCCATACTGCTTAATGAAATCATAATTTAAACAGAAAGGAATCCCCTCTTCCCCCCAAGCTCAGATGAGGAATTGCTATCACACATTTTGCCACCAAAAAGAGAAGTTGGGCAGCCAAGCAGCAAGTTTTTAATGCTCTCATTCTGCTGTGTCACGGGAAAAGAGTTTGCAACCCAACTTCCCCCTGGTTCTGGCTCCATGTGAGGAATGACAGGACAGATCAGCCTGGAATTTGCACAGATGATGCCTCACAGACAGGGCTGTTATCTCTGGAAAAGAAGTCACCAGGGCTCTGCTCTGAGGAGCTCATTACCTCATCCCACCCTTGCAGAGGCTGAGGCAGGAAGGAGGATGACGTTCTTCACTCCATTTCTTGTACTCAAGAATGATAAAAACTCCCTGTGGAGCTCAACATCAGCCTTACCATGGGAGTGCAAGGGGCTGGGAAAAGCAAGTTCAGGATGAGTTAGTGAATGCACAGCAGAGAGTGCAATGGGAATGAGAGGCTGAAGAAGAATGTCCAAGAGAGAATTCCTCTAAACAAAGCAGTGAAGATAGAGTAGTAAAATTCTCACCATAAATCAATATTGTGATTGTGCTTTGGTTCTTCTGACTTTAATATCTACCCTGAGATCTCACACAGGCCTCTAGATTTGCAAAGCCACATCCTTTTTTCTAAAATCAGTATATTTAGTTCAACTTGGGTGTAAATCAGAGAAAGAAACCTACAGGCTGATGCTCAGAGAACACTTCTAACAGTGAAAAGGGCAACACTGCCAGGAGAATCTGATTGAGGAGGATGGAAACAGCCCATAAAAGTAAACATGCAAAAATCAACATACAATATTATTCACATTTCTTTGAAGTGACTGCTTACTGCATACTTTAGAAATGTGATTTAAGTAAAAAGGTACCTACTCTCTTACCTGGTAACCTTCAGTCTTCTTTTGGCACCATTTCAACAAAGCATTCCTCTTGGAACCCCCATACTCCCGGGCCAGGGCTGCCAGGGGGTCCTTCCTCTCCACACTAAACCAGGGAAGAAGAGAGAAGACAATAAATACTCTTGAAATCTCTTAAATTTTTAATTTTTTCATCTCTTTAATATCTGTATGACAAAGAATGGCAGCACAGAACATGAACATAAACCAAACTGAATTAGGTTTTGGAGCTTGCAGTAAGTGTTTTCCTTTACACAAGGTGGTGTCACTGCACATGAAGAGCTGAAAAAACAGAACCTGTGGATAGGCAGTGGTGTGTGTTAACCAAATACTTCTGTTATTATTGTCATCAGCTTTACTACAATTATCAAGTAATCTCTTTATTTTATATATAGAAAACTAGGATTTAGATGTAAAATGGAAAAAAAATGCTTAAAGAATCTGCAACAGTAAATTCACACCCAGCTGAGGTGCTGCAAAACAAATTCTTGAATAAAATGAAAAGTGTGAAAGCTGAGGACATTTAAAGGCCAGCAATCAAAACACCCCCATTGTCTCCACTCTACAGCTTCTACTGGTGGAAATAACAGTGGAGATCAGAGGAAAATATATGTTTTTTTCTCAAGAGTGAAGAAAATTATGTGTCCAATTTCCTTCAACCCTCAGAGCCTCAGGCTTTTAGCTCACCACAACATGGAAAATGACAGTAAGATAAAGAGGGCTGACCACATGTACACATGATGGAATTCTTGTGCACAACTCAGTGGCTCCTGAAAGCTTGCTATGCTCATTTCCCTTTTTAAAGATCATTACAATCTGAATTTTCATATCTGGATCTAACAGAGCCTGGTAATTCCCAAACACCAGCCAGCAGAGTCTGCTCTGGAGACAAGAGATCCTCCAGATTAAAACATACAGATTAAATCCTCCAGATTAAAACATTTATCTTGGTTCCAGGTAATGCTGTTGGGCTGCCCTGTTTTTCCCAGGAAATTGAGCTGATACCTGAGTTTGCTTTGGGGTTTCAAGCAGCTGGGGGTGGAGGAAAGCATCCTGCTGCTGAAGGCCATGGGGGGTTTGCTCAGGGACTCCAGGGAGGGGCTTTTGCGGAGGTAATGGTCTGGTTTCAGCTCTTCATTCCTCCCCTTCAGAAGGTCTGTGGGAATTCACAAAAAGCTGTCAAGTTTGCAGATTGAAGAATTTGATTAATCACTGTCCTGCCACCCCAGCACACAATATGCAGTCTGTTGTTTTGATTCTAAACAAATGTACTCATTTGTTCATTAAACACACATGGGGCTAGGAAACCTTGAGCAGATTAGAGGTGACCACAGCAAGGAATGGCTTTGATGATTTCAACAGTACAGGCTGCCTGGTTTCCTGTGATTGATACTCCTGCTGGGGGGTAGGGGCCTCAGGTGAATAAAGGGAAATACCAACATCTACAGCCTCCAAGGTTCAAAAGCTGAGCACAGATATCTTCACCAGATGACTGAGCAGCCCTAGTACAAGGATTTCTTTTCTGCCATTAGGAGACTTGAAGCAAGAAAGCCTCTTGTGTCCTGAACACAGCCAGGGAAAGGCACTTCTCACTCCTCATGATGTCTGACATAACTTGGAGAAGGCTCAATATATTCACAGCAGATGCATCTGTATTTTTCTTACACATATTATGTAATTTATATAATGTATTTGTTATATATATATAGTTATATAGTCAAAAGAAAATCACTGCACATCAATATATATAAAATAATAAAATAATAAAAACAAATAATAAAAATAAAAAGTAAAAAATAAATAATAAATAATAAATAATAAATAATAAATAATAAAAAGTGATGTAACAAGCCAGGACTGCACATCATGTTATCAGAAATTACTGGATGTGGAGCTCAACTTTTCCATCTCTTTTTCAGTTCCATCCCTATGATTATTACCAATTAATGCCAATCACTGAGGTGTGAATTCCTTCTTATCTCAGCTTCAGCTCCCTATAACTTATTTCTGGGTGCTTGAAAGTCCAGATGGAGCCAGGAAATCTCTGACTCTCAAAGATCACAGCCAAAACCAGCTCTGGGTGAAGTAATCCATGCTCCTCTCCAACTATGTAACATTTGGGTCACATTAGGGACATCACAGAACCCTGCTGTGACACTGGTCAGATGGAATCAGCCAGAAGATTTTTATTATGGAGACTACTTCACTCTGAATTTCCTTGGGGATAATTTCTGATTCAGTGTTGTTTGCATAGGATCAACTGCCTTCTAGGATTATTTAGATTGGAACCAGAGCTGTTACAACTTTACAGTGAGTAAGCCTTTGCTATGGATTATTGGAACTAAATTAAATCCAGGTACAAAGAGAAGCTGTAAATATAGGAACTTGCTAGATAAGCAACCATAAATTTTTACCATACAATGGCTTATAAAATATCTGTTGATTTTAACAGATTTTCACAGAACTATCTATGGGTAATAACAGAAATTATCCATTGCCCAGAGTGGGATATTTATTTTTAAGGACTGGCATCATATTTCATAGCTGATAGATTATTTCACTCTACAGTAAACTGGTAGAGATTAAAAAGGTCTTACATTGTGTTTGGGATCTACACACTCATGCAAGACTTCCTGGAAACCAAGTGATACAAGTAAATAAACCCTGTCCATTTCCCTAGACAGAAGCAGACACTTCTGCTTGCTTAGCCATGCTCTAATTTCTCTTCTGTATTAGCAAACTATTGCAGAAAATCCAGTCTAGCCATCAAGAACTTGTGACTGATTGTTGGGGCTTTTTTTGTCCCTTCCTGCAGTTTCACTACAGGAATATAACATTTCATCTTAAAAATTCAAGAATCTGTTGTTACTAACTTTGATTAAAATGCAACAATTACATTCAGGACCAGATAATCAAAATAAAGGGCCTAGAGAAACTGAGAAACAAACACTGGTAGGAAAGAATATTAAATGACAAGAGAACAAAAGCAAAGTGTGAAATGAAAACAAACTCATCTCTTGAGAGCTCTCAAAACAAACTATTTCCAGCCCAAATATGACTGCTCCTAAAACAGTCACATCAGTATCTGAAATGTTTGATGTATTTCAAATGAAGCTCAATTTAAAAACAAATAAACCCTCAGAAGACAGTGCTTTGGGCTAATTCCAGAGACATACATGTTGAACAAAATCCAGCCCTCTCCAGTTCCACAGTGTGGATTAGAGAGGTGCCATGGATCCTTCAGAACAAAGAAGGGGAGTTTGTGTTGGCAAACCACAATAAATCAGCTATTTTTTAGTTATGATCAAGATGGGAATAGAAGCACAACAAAATTAATAAACTCTGTAAAACAAAGATATTGGAGGCACTTTCCAGGTTTCCTTTGACCATGTAAGAAGAGGAAAAATGGCTCAGGCTGAGGCCAACAGTTAATAACAAGTTTAGTTAACAGAAAGAGGCAGTGTCTGTGCATTGATCACAACTTACCTGCCAGAGGGAGGTCTGACAGGTCTGCATGTCTGGCAATGCCCTTGCTGGCTGGCTTGGCATTGTTGTACACAGAATGTCTCTGTCAAACAAAGGTGCAAAAGGTAACCGAAGAAGTATTGGCCATCATGCTTACATAGGTGAGCAAAAAGAAGTTGTTTCTGCTATTTTAAGAGCACAAAGCATGTAGAAGGATACAGAAACCTTTCAGCAGTATCAGCTGCACCTAGATTTGGGTGAGTAACTGTGAAAAATAGAAGGACAAAGCGACAATACTTTATCTGGTAATACATTGGCTCCTGAACTACTTCACACTTCTATTTGTATGATTTTTCTCTTGCCAAACACAATTTAGAGTCACAAACCAAAAGTAAGGATGTCTGTTCTCAGCCTGATTCAGCTCTCAACACTCTGAGTCATATGTCAGGAGGATTCCTGTCTCTGCAGCCCCAGCAGCAGTTTTCAAGGAACACCTCACCATCATCAGGCATTAATACAAATTCCCAGACCTCACTGGATAACTGGGAGCACACATCTTGGAAACTTCAATCCCTTGTGTCCCAGCTCATGTGCCAGCTCCCTAGTTCAGTGTGATGTTTCTTCTATCTCACTCCCAATAACTGAAACCTCTTTTCTGGTCCATGGTGATAAAAGCTCAGAACTTCCAGAGTTCACATCCGTCCACCAAGACCTCTAAGCTCAAGTCCAGACAAACTCACTTTGATCCTTTTTGTTAGGACCACAGCATTTGATGTCCCACAGCAAACAAACAGATGAGTTTCCCCTTCCCCTGTCAGCAGATGCTGGAGCCAGCACTGTGTCCACCTCTTTTCAATCTCCAAGGACAGAAGAGCTCCTTGTACCTGCATTGGGGAAACAGCAGCTGCTGGGGCTGTCCTCACTGGAATTCCACTGAGAGGGCTCCTGGGCACCTTGTGAACTGGGATATTTTGTCCACTGCTACCTGCAAGGAAAAACCATAGAAACATCTGGATTTCAAACCCAACTATCAGTCTCTTGTCAGATCAGGGAACCACTGTGTAGTGACATTCTCTATTTATGCACCACTGACAGAAAACACCCATCCAGAAGCAAGAAGCAGATCCTGCACACTGCTAGAATTTTTTTTTACTCAATGTCCAAATACCTGAGCATCCCAAGTCAAAGGACTTTATCAGTGACTTCACAGTGGCTGCAGACTCCGGAGGCGTGGGAGATGCTCTGCTGAGGCAGACCCCCTGCCAGCGGCTGGCTGTGTCTGACTCCACAGAATCCACCTCTTCAGCTGCCAGCCTGCAAGGCACAAACCAGGCAAAGTCAGGGCCAGCAGAAAGTGCAAGCACAGATTAAAGTTCTTCATTGATAGGGAGGTAAATCCAACAATGAGCAGGTTTTATTGCATTGCCCAGAACATGGACCTCTCTTAGAATATTCAGGTACTTTTTTTGCAGCGCCTGGGAAACACTAAATCACTGAGTCTAACAAACTTTTCTGCATTGTTAACCATTTCATCCCCATTCCCAAGCCTCACACAGGAAGGAGGATTTTCATAAGAAAAAAAAAGGCAGTTTGATGAGACTTCTAATAATTACCAATAATTGCCTGAAGATGGGCTTTCAATAGAGCACAGGTGCCAAGGGGCTGCTGTGGCTCTCAGTTTATAGTGAGGAAATAACCAAAAGGCAAATACACTTCAGAGTAAAAACTCAACACTTAAAACTTATCAACAGAGAACCCTCAATCACAATTCATAAGCACTTATACAGGGAATAAACTCTTAAATGCTTCATCCTAGCAGACACAGGAAGGCCAAAATCCAATGGCTAGAATGAAGACAGACAAAGCAAATAGAAAATGTTTCATATTTTAACAGGAAGGATAAAGAAGTTATTCCTTTGAAAAGAAATTCTGAAGTCAAGATCAGGGGCTGGACTTACAGGAGTTCATACAGGAAGGCCCAGAGCTGTGTTAAACATCAAATATAATCCCACAGTGAAAGCTGCTTCCAGTCAAGTATTTTACATGATATTGCTCAGTGACTTACCTGTATTTCTCAGGTAGACTTGGAGTGCAATTATCTAGTTTTAGTTTAGGAAAGCTGCAAGCAAATAAAGTCTAGCAATGTGAAAAGAGATTATTTGTCCCTCTCCTACCTGCTCAGAACCTGCACATCAGCTGCTGAGCAGCAGGTCCTGAGCTGTCACCACTCCTCCCTGTATTTACAGTGTTTGATACACACCAAGAGCTCCATGAACACAAAACCAGAAATTATTTCATAAGGTTCCTGGAGGACTCCATCCAGAAAGTGCCTGTGGGGCTGAACAACTTCTGTGAGCCAAAAATAGAAGTCAGAGCCTTTCCCTTTAGCCATCAGAAAATGAAAAAGGCTAAAGGGTGTCAGTGAATAAGAGAATAAGAGTGACTCAAGTTTCTATTTCTGGCAGGGCTTAAGGAGGTGCTGTCTTTAAGCAGACTTTGCTATTTCTTTAATTCATTGAAGCTCCTTGTGTGCCAGGGGAGCCTGCAGAGGCAGATGGCTGGAGAAAAAGCCATTTCAGTTCCATTCTCCTTTAATCCAATAAGGAGGAAAGGCAGATTGGATGAGATTCACAGAGCTCTGAGGGAGCCAGTGTTTTGCTAGCCTTAAGATCCAGCCTTGACTTCTTGTTCTGTGGTTCATAAAGGATGAACAACAAATCAGCACGTGACAGCATCTGCACCTGAGCTACACAAACCACAAAAGCTAAAAGAGCCCTGCAAAGTGTGGAGGAAGGACAAATTTCTGCCTCAAGACCCCAAACCACCCAGTGCAATCTATTTCACTTTCAGTCTGGCCTTTGACTGCAGAAGGATGCAAACTAGACCAGCCCCTGTGCCACAGAAGAGACAATTGAGAATTTAGGAGCCATTATTCTGTCATTAGGATTCAAGTGCTGCAGTTACAACCAGTTTCCTTTTTTTTTTTTAGGATGTTTCCTGTAATCTTCCATCTGTATATTTGTAATAGGCAGACTGAAACAACCTCCTTGATTAAACACAATCACAAGAGAAAACCTAGGCCTCCCTTGCTGCAAACCTTGGCATAAAAGAACAACAGTCCTGAGAGCCACTTGCTTCAATTAAAACAACACATGCCAGCCAACAAGCAATGGAGAGATGAAACTGGTGAGCACTTAACCTTAAAAAGAAAAATCGGTATGATAGGGGGATGCACATGTGTGTACAGAGATGGGCTTCTTAAGAGAGAAGCAGAACAACAAGAGCTTAACTTGCAGTAGCTAATTCAGGAGGACAGCAGAGAGCACAAACTAGAAAGATTAATGATCAGCCACAACTTCAAACCCAAAATGACTCCTCCTCATGCACAGAATTTCTTCAGCTTAGCACATCCTAGGCCATCCAAGAGACTACACAAGTTCTGCTACAAAAATGAGGGATCTGAACAAAATGTCACCAAGTGCAGTATGCTTTCCTGGAAACAGGAATGAATGAATGGCTCACACAGATAAATGCTGCACGTGCAGCTGGCTGAAGTGGAGCAGCTCCAGGAGGAAGCAGAGCACTGGAGCCACAAAGGAATTAAAACGTGCAGTCCCTTTCACAAAACCACTGCTGAGTTTCATTCATTCACTGGTGAGAGAAATAGATGCAGAGAGCTTTTCTCTAACAGCAAGAGTGAGGTGGATAACTGACTGGTAACAAGGTGCAAATCTTTCAGATTTTTGGCAAACTCAGCCTTCTCACGGTAATAAAATTTCTAATCTGCTCTGATGACTCTTACAGGAGGCCTAAGACCACAGGACCATATTTTCAGAAATGATGACTCCCCAACCTCATCTTTGACACAGTTCCTGTCATTGTGACTCATCCTGAACTCCAATGCACACCAAAAAGAGACACAGAGCTACTGCTGCACAGAATAGAAGAGAGGCCAAAGGCAGGCAGCAGACAATTCCAAACACTTAAACATTTATTTGGCACTTCAATGTATATTTCTTAAACGTAAAAACCAACATTCAACAGCTGCCAGCACAGCAGAGAAAGGCAACACAAGTGTTGATATAGGCAAACACTCCAGTAGCACGGCACAAAGGTGGGGCCATGCCAAAGCCAGGACATCCTGTGGAATTCTCCACTAGCTCAGCCTGCTCCCACACCAGGCCCTTGCTAGGTCTTCACATCTAGAAGAAAAGGACAGAAATCCCACAGCCAAAACACAGAATTCCAGTCCTGGAACAAAGAGTGAGAATCTCCTGGTAGAGGTGGTGATCTCTGAGTTTTTCCTCAGCATCCATGGAAGGCTCTCTCCAGGTGTCTCCAGCTGCAGAGCTGAACTTCAAGTTCTCCCTGATCATCAAATACTTCACCTGAGTTAAAGGCATGAGAACAACTCCTTTCTGGGAGGGTGTTTACAAGGGGCTTGATATGTTCGTTTCTTTTCCTTCTGCTCTCTCCATCTGCAGTTCTTGCAGGAGGACAAAGCTCACAGGGAACTGTCCCCGGGAAGGTCACAGCAGGACACGCTCGTGGTTGTCCCTTCCCAGCAGCACCGGGTCGGCCGTGCCACCCAGTGGCGAGTGCCTTGTGAACGCAGGGGTGGAAATCAAACCAGCAGAACATCTGAGAATGACTAAATCCGTGTTTGCTGCTGGATTTCAGTGACCTATCCCCACGTCTGTGTGTCTGTATAAACCATCTGTTCTCTTACATGTATTTAGACACACAGAGATAAATCATAGAATAGAATATTACATGGAGAATTTGTGTATATGCCATTAAATTTTACAAATCAGACATACACACTCAGTGTAATTTTTGCTTAAGGTTAAAATGCTATGTTTGAATGCCTGTTTTGAGGAAAATAGCCCCATCCCTCCAAAAAAAGCTCTCAGTTATTTCAGATCCCCAGATCTCTGTGATTACTTCTTATGGCTTAGCTGGCTTTAGAGTAATTCAGAACTTCTTCTGCCTCCTGGTGTCTTCTGAAGAGAGAAGCCTTCTGAAACAAAGAGAGAGGCTCTTGCCCATGGGGAAGAGGTGGACCTGAGCATTCACACTTTGCAATACACTTGAATTTTGCAGGGTAATTAAAAAACCAGAGGTGCCTTCTTGTATTGAAACTTCCCTTTTCCAGCTGGGAGTTGAAGGCAAGTCCTGCAGTGTCTCACAGGCCTGGCTGTGCCTCCTTTCAGGGCTGTGTTAGCTGGCAGAGATCAGGCACCTGTGGAGAGACACACAGCAGTTGGGGAGGTTATGGAAAGCCACACCAAGCCCACCCTGAGGTACAGCTCTCTATTTTACATCATCCCATCATTTCTAAATTAGGGGGAGCCAGGGAAACACTGGTGGGGTGGCTGGGACAGGTAAAGGAGCACCTTAACACTCCACTAATTTGGCTTTGAGACATGATGAACAACAACAGTACAAAACACAGAATAAATCTGTGTTGCTCAGATAGGAGGAAATTAGTTATTTTCAGCCAGGTAATCAGTGTAGGACAGGGATGGTTCCTGGCCTTCCTCTCCTCTGCTCATTTCAGAATATTTATTCAAAAGGGGTACAGGGACCCAGCCAGGCAGCTGAGCTGCTCTACCTCAGCCAGAATTTCAGAGTTCTTGCACTAAAGGGGATGGAATAACCTCATCCAATGTAAAAAAAACCCACCAGGAACTCCTTAACAAACCCAAACCCCCACCCCAAACTACTCTGAGGAGCACACAAACACTGCTTTGAGAGCACTGCTCTGCCATCCTCCTTTGCTTGCTGTGAGAGCAGAGTGAACTCTCAAAGCTCTGAGACAGAACAGCTGCAGACACAGGCACAAATGAGCAGCACATCAGCACATACAGACTGACAGCAGGGTTTAATACACACACTACAAGCTCATTTCCAGGAGAAAAGCATGTGACACTGCCATGCTGTGGCATTGGAGATTTTAGGAGGAAAACCAGAAGCAAATTAGTGGGATGCATCACAATCTTCAGTTTAGGCTTCCATTTGAAGATCTGGTTAATTTTTTTATTACTCTATAAAGTCGCTCATTTAATTACAGATTTAATTTCTCTAAGTACTACTCCTGGCCCAACTGTCCTCCCTCCATGTTCTTATATCAAGGCATAAAATGCTTTAGTGCCAAAATAATTTTTACAATTTGAAGCCAAAGAGTCAAAGCAAAACCTCGAAAGTTTTTCTCAGTATCTTATCCTGCCTGGTCTTGAAAACATCCAAGGATGGAGAATATTTAACTTCCATTTCCACTACCTGTGAGGAGACAGCTCCACAACAATGGATTGTAAGCTTCTGCATTTTACTGCAGAGAAATAGCATTAATTAGGATGTAAAATATCATAGAAGAATGCCTGAAGCATGGGTTAATCAATTTGTAGGTTCACCAGTACTAACTTGGGACATGTTAACTCCTTTTTCCCTTATTCCATTTGGTTGATGCTTGTCCAACCTCCCCCCCCAACATTCTCAGTCATAGAATTAGACATTTAATCTGTGTTAAAGATGCCCTTGGGAGGCTCTTACCTTCATTCAGTTGAACTCTGATGACCTCATCAGGATTTTTTCTGCAAGTTCTTGGGCTGTTCCTAAACCAAAAATGACTTTTTGTCTGATTAGAAGAACGTAACGGCGAAATCAAACTTGGAGGCAGGAACTCAGGCAGCCACAGGCAAACATTAAAATGGCAGGATGTCGTAGGAGATAAATTGGCTTCAAGATGAATTTATGAGGTGGAGTCTAATGACCCTCAAGAGATGGCTGAGATTTTGCCAAAAACCTTTGAGTAGCAAGCTCTTTGGAAGGTACATTTTCCAATAAGAGCTTAAAAATCAGACAAGAAACTTTCACTAGGGACTGTCAGACATTCAGCTGAGCATGCAGCTGCTCAGCATTAGCAAACATGAGGAATACTTTATAGGCTCTGTTAAAGTATCATGCTACAAACTGCTTCCACCAGTGCTGAGCACACACCAAAATCTCCACAGGCACCAGAATCCACTGCTGATTCTGAGCAGTGGCATTGTGAAAGCTGACAAAGTGATGATGAGAATACCCCCAGAACTTCCTGGGTGAAAGAAGCCAAGGTGCTGGGGGAGACAGAGACCTCAGGAATGGAAAAATATCTGGAAGTGTAGAACTGGCTCTCAGCAGGAGCTTTGGCAGCTTCAGGAATTTGTTTCATAGGTCAGTAGAGCTTTAAAGTTGCAGTGTTTAGATGCTGATCACTGGTTTGTTTAGAAAGGGATTTCCACAGGCTTCATTATGTTCCCCATACCACTCAGTACAGACATCTTTCACACTCTGAGAGTCAAATTAATTATCCTGACAGATGCAAAATTTGGTTTTGTTACCTGTCTTTGAAAGAGAATCAATATTGCCCACTGCAGACAGCACATCTGGCTCCATGACCAAGGCAATACTCAAAGCAAGCTACACAGAGTGAACATGACACAGAGACAGACACATCCATGTGTGTGTGACACAGAGGGAGACACAAAAGCCAAAACTGACTTCATTAAATACATGTCTGAACAATTCCTCCTGGAACTACAGTTGTATGGATTCTGGAGTTCCAATTTAAAAGGAGCATTTGTAGCTCAGGCTTCTTATACCAAAGAGCTGATCATGTTCCTTGTAGATGGAAGAAAAATATTGCAGTTTGCAAATTAGCAGGTCATCTTCTACTCATGTGAAGTACTATCAAATATATCATAAAAGCCAAAATAATACAGAGGGGAAACTATGAGAATATGATTCCCCACCCTCATATAGGAACTCTGCTTTCAACAAGAGAAATTTCATTAAGAACAAATTAGAAATGGAAACAGAGCCCAGAACCTTACTGTCTGGTAATCATTTTGTCTGAGTACATGGTCTGTAACAGCTTTTCTTTGCATTCACTTGGGACTCTGCTAATGAAACTGGAGCCTAAAAACATTCCTTTATTTTCTGAAAAGAAGTTTTTCTGTTTGTTCAATCCAGGCATTCTGATCCTACACCTCCACAAAAAAGCTCTCCCATGTTTTTAGTCCCATCAACTGTACAGCTGCTGTGGAAAATCTTGAATGGAAAACAGTGAGCAATAAGTGCAATGTAGAGCTGGACTGTTACTTCACCTGAAAGAAATGACAGGATTCACCCTGTTCTTGTGGCCATTCTGCCAATGGCCATGAATTTGCCAGGAGAGAGATTAAAAGGCAAAATCTAGAGGAGTAAAATTAATTTACACATATTTCTGATAAACAGATGACTGCTTGTGTTACTTTGTCTTCCTTCATTCACTTCCCTCAGGTTAAGAAGTTGTCTTCTGGAATATCTGTACCCAGCCAATCCTTCCACAGATGGTTTAATACAGCTGCACAGAGTTATAAAGGCATGACCATATTGAGAGCAAAGCTATCAGAAGATATTGGCAATTGTTATTACTTAATATTTGCTTATTAAAACCTCCATGGCTTAGTTGACAGGACTGCCAAAAAGAAAAAGAACAGAAACATCTTAGAATAAGAGACAACAAAATCTGCCAGAAGAGTTACAAACAGACGAGATGCACATCCAAGCCTGCAGATAGTTACTGACAAAGCACTGTTTGCATGCGTGTTAGCAGGCACACGGAGCAAGTCCTGGCCTTGGGAAATGGAAAACAACCAACCTGTTGCTGCCCTTCACTTCATCCAGCTCCTTCTGCAGTCTGGCGCTCTTCTCCTCCTCCTCCTGCAGCTTCCTCTTCACCACACGGAGCTCCTGCTGAGCTTCACACTTAATGTCATTGGCCACAACCACTGCAGTCTGCAGGTCAGCCTGGAAACGCCTCCACTCCTCTGTGTCCTCCTGCCAAGAGCAAAGAGAACCCCAAACTGCTGTGAAAATGCACCCACTCAAGCTGAGCACTGAGTTATTGATCTCTATTGCAGTAATCACAAGCAACCAGGATTTTCTCCCCAGTTTTAAGGTGGTGCTGGGTCAAACTGAACACTTGCCTCTTTATGCTACTAAAATTATTGCCAAAGAAACTCGTGCTAATCTTTCCACTCCAATATTGCCTGGAAGTCCACAGTGAAGAGAATGAAAACTTAAAGGGTGCAGAAAGAATTTCTGCTCTTGTTCTAAGAAAATACAGTGCCAGTATTGCAAGAAAAGCTCAGCTTAGCTTTGTCTTGGAGCTTAAACCTTACCTTCATCTGCTTAGTGAGAGCTTTCAGCTGCCTCTCTGTATCTTGTTTTTGTTCTTCCAGCTTCATTGCTTTACCTAGGAATGATAAAAAATGTGAAAAGTTCATTAAACACATAAGGGCAACAGTGAAAGTGAGAATGGGAGGGCAGAGCAGCTGATTTGATTTTGCTTCTGGTAATGCCACTAAAATAGACTAAACTGAATTAAGGCACTGCCAATGATCAGGAATGGAACCAACAGTAGATCTGGTACTCAAATATCTCTAAAATATGTCATTATTTTCAGGTATTAAACCAGACTGAAATTTAAACAATCCCACGTGGATTCACTTGCTCAGCACACAGATCCCGAGGGATCACTGATGTGAGGAACAGCCACTGCTTCCACCAGGTGGCAGCTCCTCATCCTCAGCAACCTCGACTTCACTGCTCTTCCCAGTGCTCTGCCCTAAAAACTCTTTAATAGAAATCCAGAAATTCCAATTCTGGAATGGGTAATACTTCCTTCACTGAAGAATTAGGCTTGGAGACTGTCTCTAATGTCCCATCTACAGCACTCTCTGTTAAAATAGTACTTTTATGCATGAATAGAAGGGAATATCCAAAACTGGAATATTTGCAAAGATCAGATCTCCTCCTCCCTGTTGCAGCCCTAACTGAGCCCCCCACATAAGCTCACTTCAATCCTTTTTTCCAACTCCACCTACTTTCCAGGTCACTGATGAGCTGGTTATTGTGCAGTTTTATAGCACGATGCTGTTCCACCTGGTCTTCCAACTCAAAAATGGTCTCCTTCAGGTTTTTGATATCTGCTTCATTCTCTGATGTCTTCTCCTGCAGCTTCTGGCTGGTTCTGCTCAGTTGCTCAGCCTGTCGGTCACACACCTCCTTCAGCTGACCATACTCATTCTCAGCCTGGGAGGGAAGAAAAAAGCTGCAAGTTTGTCCTTATTTCTTAGGGGATCTCACTCATTAGAGACTTCACTTGTGGATTTAAATATTGTATATACCCAGTTTTCAATGAAAATGAAAGTCTCAGGAAGCAGAGATGAGAGATGAATGTCAGTTTTCTTTCCTGGCAATAAAGACAACACAAGATGCTGCAAAGGAAATGACATTTTCTATATGATGACCACAATTCCAAACCAATCTCTGCAGTTAATGAAGGGAAAGGAATTATATTCCCAGAAATCTCCACTTCTATTTCTGTAGAACATTATGAAAGTGATATCACTGCCTTATGGCCAGGCTGATGATCAGTTCATCCACATTAACAATTTGCTGCTTTTACCATGTGCATTTTCAATGGGCTGTGAAAACACACACAGCAGAGTCAGCTACTGCAGATAAGTGAATTTCTGAATATGGGACATCTGGAAATACTGAAGGGGGAATCTGCTGCACTTCAGTTTGCTGGCTCAGCCCACTGATCAATGCTTCCAGGTTTGGGGGGAGCTCTCTGACTGGGAACAAGTTATGGAAAAGGTGCAGGCTGCCAATTCAGTGAGCACCACTGGCACAGCCCCACTGCAGGGCAGCCTTACAGAAGCCTGTGGTCTTGCTTGGGTGTCACAAATAGCCAGTGATTCAAAACAGCTTAATTCGAGGGAAGGGAAGAGTAAAAAGAGGGAAATCTGTGGTTTCCAAACCAAGCAATAAAAAGTTTGGTACAGAGTCTGAGCACTCAGCAGTTTTTCATTTATTCCTCATGACCTGCAGCTCCAGAAAGCACTTGGGAAAAGTGGAGGAAAGCTTCCTCTACTAACTCCATTTGCTGTGGTCACCTACTTTAGCTGAAAGGACATCTGGATTTTCTAAATCACTCAAACCATGGAGGTGCTTTTTGGCAATGCTCTCTTCCTCTGCAGCCAATTTTATCATTCTCCTCATGCTCCCTTCCCCATACAGGAAAGGCTGCACACTTTCACTCCTCCTGCAGCACAGGGACACAATCACTGCTTGTGCTTTATTAACACTTGCTGAATGATGGCTCACACTGCAGCTCCTCTGAGCAGCCAGGATCACACAGAACACAGGGACACTAACTTGCTTAACCTTGTTTGGAGCAAAGCTGTGAACTCACTAATGAGGTAAATTGCTCTAAAAATATTTTTTATGTTACTTTACCTATCTCAAAACAGAGCATTTCTCTTTTTTTTTTGGTAAAAATATTTGTTTTATGAAAATTATCTCATCTGGAGCTTGACTGTGCTGTGCCTTGTTGCTGCCCCTATCAGCTTCCCTGAGCATTAATTCATGTCCTTGTGTTCTCATGACCAATGACACCTATACTTCACTGTTAATTAATTGTCATTCATTATGCAGAATTTAATATTCACAGCTAACTATTTATGCCCTTCTCTTCATCTGATTAGCAAGTGATTTCCACTATTTGTTCACACCATATCAAAGTGCTTTTTTATTGATCTGCTCTTTGCTCCAATTCTGACAGGCACAATTCTATTTGCTGAAAGAGTAAATTCTATACAAGGTATTAGGACAAAATAGTTATCAATTTATAAATACAGATATGCCAATAGTTATTTCTGAGAAAATATGGGTATAGCAGCAGAAACTGAGACAGTGTCATATAATCCCAGCTTCTACTAAGAGCTAATCATACAATTTAAATCCTGGACACTTAAAATCAGTGGCTAAATAAGAATGTAAAGACCAACCTATTTGTGAAAGGACAGAAACAACCACTGTATTTTAGAGCTGTTATTGTTTTACCTTAGACAGCAGCCCCTGAATGTGCTTCAGTTCACTGTTTGCCTTCAGCAGCTCTTGTTTCAGCTCAGTGCAAGAGGCTTCTAACTGGGCCTTTTCTGCATGGGCTACTTTGAGCATCTCCTGCACCTCAGAGTTGTCAGAGGTGCAGCCCATCACGTTGATTTCTGCAGCCTTTTGTTTCTCATTCTCCAGCTGAATTTTGAGAGAGCCATTCTCAATTTTCAGACCTTCCAAGGCAATTTTGCAGTCCTCCAGACTTTTTGTCACTGCGCTGTTGCTCTGCTGTTCCACTTCTAGAAGTTTAAGCAGCTTCTCATTTTCTTCTCTCAGGCTTTTTATCACCTGCTGGGCATCCTGATGCTCCCTTTCTAAGCTTCTCAGGCTGCTGGTTAACTGTTGCTGAATGTTGAGCAATTTCTCCCTTTCAAATTGTGCTTTTTCAAGAACTTCTGCACATTTCTGTTCCAGTTCAAGGACCTTCTCCTCTTGAGCTTCATTCTTGGATCGCTCTTGGAGGAGAGTCATGAGCTTCTCATTTTCCTGGCTCAGCTGCTCAGCTCTGTCTCTGTGCTGACGGAAGGAGGTCTCCAGGAGAGCTTTCTCTTCCACCAGCTTCTCATTTTCTGTGGTCAGCTCCTGCACCATTTGCTGCTGATCAGACAGCTCCTGCAAAGTGGCCTGCAGCTCTTCTGCTGTGCTGTGGTGATTCTCCTCCATCTTTTGTATTCTCTCCGTAAGAGATGCCACAGAGAGGTCGCTAATATTGTTTGGAGAACTTCCTGCAGTGGAGCACTTGGAGCCTTTGAAGTGGTTGCTGCTGGCAGATGCTGGCCTGGAAGGCACATCTGCAATGTGCTCAAAGTCAGATGCATCAGGGGACAGGGAGGCCTTGGTGACATCGCTGCTGGAGGAGCCGGAATTGCGCAGGGCAGCCCCGTTCAGGTGCTGCCTGTGCTCCTCTGCCTCACCCCTGGACACACTCTTGGATGGGCTTCCAAAACTCGACTCTTGGGTGGTTGGGGTTGGGAGGCTGCTGTCGCCTCCACTGCTTGTGGTTGTGTCTGAGAGAGGGGAGTTCTCCAGGTAAAGCAATTTCTCTTTCAAAGCACGGTTTTCTTCGCCCAGGCTAGCAAGCTCTTTTTGGAAAGTCCTGTTTTTCTCCTGAAGGGTTCTTATTAATGGATCTATGTCAACAGGTGATACTGTTTCTAAATTTTGGTTGGAAGCCCCCATTCCTTCAGCGTTGAGTGACCCTTTCTCTTTGCATTTCTTCAACTCACAACGAAGTTTGGTAATTTCCGAATCTTTCGTCTTTGCTTCTGCCAGGAGCTCTTTAACCTGAGATTCCAGAACAGCCTTGTCACCAGCTTCATTCTCTTGCTTGGACTTGCTGGTGGGGCGCACGTGTTTGGTCGGAGTTGGTGCAGCAGAAGAGGTGGGGCTGGGCTGTGTTTTCCTGGGGTTGGCCTGAGCACGCAGCACAGCTCTCTCCCTGGACACGGACGAGGACAATTCCCGGGGCGCCGGGATCCCCGTGCGCTTCGCAGCCGAAACCGCTCCTTGAGGAACGAGGGATGGAGCAAATTTGAGTTAGTGCATAAAGAGAACAAGTTTCTCAACAACAATGCTGGAATCTAGAGCAGCCCTGGGAAAAAAACACCTGAGTGTTTGAATAGGTTTAGTCATGACTGACTGTGTGGATTCATGTTTCAAAGGCTTGTATTATTCTGCATTTCTTCCTTTCCCATCCCCTGCAAAGGAACACAGCCTGGTAAACTTTTCCCCAGTGTGGTAATATAATATGTAAATGTTGCAATATGTGAGCCACAACCCCCTATTAATTGTATTGATGTAAAGATATAAGGATATTAATTATTTGAAAGTAAAAGTTCTTCACACTACTGTAAAACAGTGTAAATGCTGCATCTAATCTTAATGTAAAATGCTGGATCTAATCCTAATCATTTCTGAGGAAATGTTCAGTAACTTAAGAAAAGATACAAATGTATTTTTATCACACATAAAACTATTTGCATTATACTCTATTTAAGCAGATCATCACAAAAAAAGAACTGAAACACTTATGCTGAGCACAGATTCAGTGAAATATAAAACTCTTCTGGCACTTCCAACACTAAGACAATTGTGTGGCTGCAGCTTCTTGCAGAGATGGATGACAGATTTTCCATGTTCTAAATTCCCATCCTCTTATGGAAGAAGAGTAAAAGGAGCTTAGAGTTGATGCTGTTCTGTTCAGTTGTTGGTTGGGTTTTTTCCCCACCAACCAACAATGCAAAGGATTATGTGACTACAAGGGAAATGAAGTTTATGAGTTGCTGATTTTCATCTTTCAAAGCTCTCTTGAAATACAGGACCCCAGGCACTGAGGAAACAATAAGAGCCATCTGAACCATGGAAGTTGTAACAAGCTGGTTAAAGAAAAGAAGCTGGTTCAAAGGGCAGGTATGACATGGCACTATAACTGAAAACACTGTGAACTTAAGAAAATCCTGCTGAAAATTCAGGACCTTATTCAAAAGGAGAAGCCCTAAAGTACAGGACCACGAAGTGTTGGGATAGGGCACAATGAGGAGATGTGGTCCAATGTAGCCACATAAACAGGATGCAAGAGCAAGTTATGCAAACAGAAAGGGCTAGAGCCAGTGTTTGCAATAAAAACAACTTCCAGAAGGACTCTGGGGGGAAATCCCAGAATGAATTCCATCTCCCCACATTTGGGAGGCTCTTTGCCGACACACATGTGCAGCATCCACAGAAAATCAAAGAGCATTAGGAGCAAAGGGGAACAGACCCCCTTCCTTATACTGCAACCTCATCACCCTCCCACAGCAGAGCAGGGCACGGAAGGGTTAACATTAACACCACCCCGTTTGCTCAGCATCTCTTTTGAAGAATGCACTGGGTTTATAAAGCCCACACAAACAGGAGCCCCTCCTCTCCCCCCCAAACACACACACTCTGCAGCAGCAGCACAATAAACACCCCAGACAAAGAGCAGCTGAAGAAAAGCCCCCTGAAGCCGGCAGAGCGCTGGCAGGAGAGCACAGAGAGCCTCTGTCATGGCAGGGGCACGGTGAGGCCAGACACAAAGGCTCCAGTGTTTTTGGGAAGAGATACAGGGACAGCCAGGCCCACACAGCTTCATCCAGTCACCTACAGCTGGAGGGGACAGCACAGCTCCAGGGTCTCCAGTGGAAAACAGAGCTGGGAATTCTCCTTGTCAGAGCCCCAGCTCATGGGTCATCCCATTCCCAACCCAACCACCACGACCTGGCACCCATAAAACCTACTTAGAGTGAGCTCAGCACATGAGCAAAGCTCGTGGTGTCCATGCAGCCAACACCAGGAGATGAAGGACAGGAGGAAAAGTGGAAGGACCATGATGTGATGTGACTGCCAGCAGAGAAATCCCAGCTCAGCACAGCCCCTCCCTGCTTAGAGAGAGGCACAGGTGAACCCCAGGTAGGAAAGCACTTGAATGCATCCTGACCATTGAGAAGGACAAGTGTCCAGTATACAGAAGCAGTTTTCACACAAGCTGCAACTACACTACAGTTTTAAGATGTAAAATCCACATTACAAGTGAGCAGAGATGTTCTTGAATGGAGCCAAAGGGGTGATTTAAAGCCTCCTGTGTGTCCTGGGCTTTTATTCAACCTGAAAGGGTTTTCTACCTTTCACAGAAAATTTTATGACAAAAGCAAGTGCTCTGAAAAACTTTTTTAATGCACAAACTGGTTCAATAACATGACTGTCAACTGGTCAGTACACGACTAAGCAGTATTCCATAAATAGTGGGTGGTATTCTGTACATTGCAATAAATAATGAGGAAATTACACATTAGTACAAATTGTTTGGCACTAAGGAAACCACCTTTTCCTAGGAGATGTGCTGCACCTGTAGTGATGCCAGCATGTTTCTAATCACCACCAGATGACAACTGCAACACGATCTTGAGCAGTGGAAGACATATACATGAGGATAACAATTAATGATATTTAACTGGGATTATCTGTACTCCACCAGCTTGCCAACCTGTGCAGGCTTTGAGCTTACTCAGTGTGCCTCCTGTGTTTTGCAAGACTCCACGCTCTGCTGACTTGTTCTGTCATAAATCACAAGGCATTTGCTATCCATCCATAACCATTAACCAACTTGGTTTTTTCACAGCATAGAAAGACTTACATATTTTCCTCATTCCACTCCCCACAGGCACCACGCTAAAAAGTCACAAGGAGCCCCCAAAACAAAAGTTCTAAGCGCATATGTTGATCACAAAACACCAAATCAAGTATAAACACCACTTTAAAGTCTATTTTATGGGCAAGCCCCCTGTGAATGACCTTGGAATTGAGCAGAGCAGTGGTTGCCAATGACTGCCAAGCCACAGCCCGAGGCTCCAGAGGCAGGAGCTGCACTGAGGGCTATGCAAGTCCCCCTGGTGACCTGATTGAGTGGCCCCCAGTCTGTGATGGGCTGTGGGACACTCCAGACAGACACATGCCTCCCACTGCTGCATCCAACACAGCCCTGATTTATGCTGCTGCTTTCAGGGGCTGGAATCACACACAAATTCACTGCCTGGCCAGTGCTGCTGGTTTTGAGCAGGGGAGAGAAAAACACCCAGCCCAGAATCTCAGGGGAGGTCACCTCACACTGTGCTCCTCACCTGGGTGCCCAGTCAGAACTTCTCCATTTTCAGTCGTGAGGCATTAACCCATAACAATTACACAGAGCTTATAATTCCCCAAGTGCTTTAAAATTACCAGCTATTTAACTCAAATCCTCTAAAACACATAATTAAGTTTAAGCTACAGAACAGGGAAGCAGAGAGAAATGAGACACCTCACCCAAGATCACACTAAATCAGGATCAGGACCAGGGTTTGCAGCCTGCTGTGCAGCTTTCCATGCACCACTTGCTGCCAGGGAGCACTCCCTGACTTCCCACCGGTGTCAAAAGCCAAAGTATCACTTTAATGAGATAAAAGTTGAACCCTTGAGATGATCTTTTGGCTTTTTAATCCCATTTTCAACACAACTACAATGTTTCTCACAGAAGCATCAGGATTACTCCTCAGTTTTTTCCACATCATGATCCATTTCTGATCTGAGATCTCAGCAGCTTCCATAGGGACATCCATAACCAGGAGAAAATGGACTATGGAATGGAAGAAAACATTTCCCAATCCTCCAAGGTGAAGCACACAGGATTGTTGCTCAGAAGTAACATCCAATGTAATTACAGTGGTAGCAGGGTAAGGGGAAGTAGAAGCAAACATTTTACCAGTCACAGGGGACACGTGTGACATTATGGAATGAAGATTCAATACATTTATCTGCCTTTACATTCCATGTGCTCTGAGATAACACATATCACTGCAGTAAAGCACTAGCCTTGAATTTACATTTATTTTACTTGACCCTTAATTATACTAACAGTTCAAACACCTGCTTCCCCAGTCTCAGAGGAGAGGAATAATCTCAATTGGGAAGTGACAACATTTGACTACTAAACACCTTTGAAAATGTTCTAATTTCTGCCTTGAATCTATTTTTTAGAACTGGAGTCAATACAAAATTATTTGCCTCTGGCCTTTGTCCCATTTGTGTCCCACAACCTGCCCTTTTCTTAATCCTTCCTTCCATCAACATATTAATAACCCAAAGGTTAATGCCACGGCCTTCTGCTGTTCCACAGTGGAGTTAACAGGGAATGTTCCATTTACTACCTTATTCCTCAATTTTAATCCTGTCATCTCTTAAGCAAACAACAATAAAAACACATTGTTTCCTTCAACATATTCAAAATTCCACGTCAGTAATTCACTGTTCCATGGTTGCAGTAGGTACCAAGCCTCCTGCACCATGGATGTAATTTAAGCACTGATCACCCACAAAGCATTTCAATCATGTAAGACTAAAGCATGGAGACAGATGCAGCTTTGGTGTGATGTTTTGAAACAATGGATACCTTATTTGAATTGCAAGGGCAGGATAACCAACAAGAACTAAAAGAAAGCTATTCATAGCACGCTGCAATGTTCCAGTCATACATTTCAGAAAGGCGAACTGTTGCCTGCAGACAAGTTTGTCCTCTCACGAGGGATGGTAAAGCTCTCTCATTCCAGCTCCTGCTTTTGCAACAGATCAGCAATTTCACTGTCCCGTGTCTGTCATCCCTAAATCCTCCTCAGAAATGACAGTGCAACAAGAGATTACAAAAAGAAATTAAGGACTAACTACTCAAAGCCTCCCTGGAAGCAGAAGACAGAGGTGGTTCTGTCATTCTGGAGTTCTGTTCTCACATGCCAGGATGTTTTAATAAAATTTCCCATCTGAACAGAACTCCTGAGCCTCAGATAGAAAAGTGGTTCCTTGAGGGAAAGGTCAGTATAAATCAAATGGGCTGGAGGCATTTAGCACCATGGCTAAGTAAAGGGAATATTAACAGCCCACGCTTGTACACCAAATAAAAAGAATTATTAAACCACCCCACACAATTTCACTGTGCTCTAGCACTTGTGGTTTAGTTGAA